TGCTCTTTTTAAATAGAAGTTGTGACTTTATTAGTCTCTGTGTTTTCTAAATACAGCTTTTAAAAAGTCTTTGTCAGGCTATTTCATAAGATTCATTTAATCTGGGATGCATTTATATTCCAGTGGGTGATTCTGTTGACTGTTTTTCTTAGCATTAGATTTCTTCAAGTGTTTTGAAATTTTAGTTCTCTGACTAAATATGGTTGGTTTCATCCCCCCTTCTGTCTGTCTGTCTTTGTCCCCTCCCTTTTTTTTTTAACTCATCATCCGTGTCCAGCGGTTTTTGTCATTTATTCCACCTTGCTCCTGCCACCCCAGGTTAGAACCACTGGGGACTCTTGTTCTGAAGGGACATTAGTGGTGCACAGACTCACTCCCCTTGTTGTGAGCTACTGAGTTTGATTTCTGCTGGAGTGGAGGTGTCGAGCCACTCTGAATCTACGTTGTGCTAAAAGCTCTGGCCAGAGGGAGATTGTGGAACTGGGAAGCCTCCCCACCGAACTCTGGGCCTGAGGCAGTGAGCACTCTTCTGTTTCTGTCTAGATGGCCAACTTCCCGACCAGGTTCTTTGTATCCACACCCAGAATCCAGCAGGCTGCAGCCTTAGCTCCACTTAACGTTTTGTATTTCTATTCTATTTCTGGCTCACAGAACCTCTATCTTGTTGTCAAGCTTGCTTCTACTTTTCTTACTTTCTAATTTCATGTTTCGTCTCTTGGCGGTAAGCGTCTGGAGTAGAGTGTGTTAAAAAGTGTAAACTCCCTGTGCACCCTTGCCCGGGATTGCTTGGTTTTCCTTTAATGGCCTTTCTCTATTTCGTCTTCTCCCAAGTTAATTTTTCAGAAGAGCTTCCAATATCCTCTCCTCTCAACAAATCTAAGAACCAGATGTTTTCAAATTAGTTCTTTCTTTGTCACCACAATAAGTATAGTTAACATCCATCACCACATGTAGGTAGTTTTTTTCCCTTGTGGTAAGAACTTTTACTCTCCTAGCAACTTTCAAATTACAGTCTAGAGTGATTAACGGTAGTCGCCATGCCGCACAGTACATCCCAGGACTTATTTTGTAACTAGAAGTTTGTACCGTTTGACCACCTTTGCCCCTCCCAATCCCTGATTTCTCTCTGCATCTATGAGCTTGTTTTTTTGTTTGTTTGTTGTTATTGTTTTTAGATTCTTCATATAAGTAAGATCATATGGTATTTGGCGTCTCTCTGTCTGACTTACCTCAAATCCAAAGGTAGTTGAAGTACCATGGAAAGAACACTGTTCTGGGTAAAGATCTGAATTTGATTTTGCCTCTTCTTCCTTGGATGAGGCATGTTACTTCTTTAAGCTTCAGTTTCCTTCTCTGTAAAATGTAAATGGTAATCCTGCTTCTTAGGGCTGTGCTGAGGATGAAATGAGATCATGTGTGTGTCAACGCACCATCCCTAACAGGTGCTCAGCGAGAATCTTACGAAGAGAAGTATCAAAGGAATTTGGTGATAAATGCAAAAACACTGGCTCCTTGGATCCCAATCCGAACCCTCGTTCGTGTAACTCTACCTGCAGGCTGGCTCCCCTGCACTTCTCCCCACCATCAAGATTACTGCAGGCAGGAAGCCGTGGAGGGGCTCTGTGAGGGGGTAAAGAAGCCCTGTGGCCAAGGTGGTGGGGTCCTTTCCCTCTGTATGTCAGATACTGCTCTGAAGAAAAATGACTTTCTGGGATGCGTCAGGTTTTTGCATGTTCCGAGGTGGACATTCTGAAGACTTAGATTCAGAGTGCTAGGGGTTGGGACGTGTGACTTAATCCCACTTCTGCTCTCTTTGATTTGTTTCCTCTCCCAGTGTCAAACTCTACTTGGAGGCGTCTCAGGACTGCTCCTTACAGGATTGTTTTCCATCCCTTCCCCCAGTTTTCTCTTTTAAGTTTCCTCTTTCATTCCTTTTGCTTTGAAGAGGTCACACAGGGTTGGAGAGAAGGAATAGACTCTCATCAGCACCCTGTAAGGGGATGCTTTCATGGCCAGTGAATAGGGAGAGTGTCAAGTTCTTTTTGTTTTTTAATTAATAAATTAATTAGAGTGGGAGGTAATTAAGTTTACTTATTTATTATTTTTAGTGGAGGTACTGGGGATTGAACCCAGGACCTTGTGCATGCTAAGCATGTGCTCTACCACTGAGCTATACCCTCCTGCCCTTTAAAAAAAATTATTTATTTGGAGTCAAATTCTTATTAAAATCTTTCCCCTTCCTGATTCAAGTGTATTCTCATGGCAGTACACCTGGTAATATTTCCAAAGTGAGTTCTGGGATCCTAATTCAACCCTAACCCTAGCCCTGAACTTTCTTGCAGAGTCTTCAACATTAAATCCTCTCTAACTGTAAAAACCACCTGCTATAACATTTAGGAGGGATGCTGGGGAAGGGGCATCAACACAATTTAAAGTTTGGATGCTATTTTAAAAACGAATGATTGAAGGACGCTACTATAGAAATTAAGGCATTTACATCTGTTCATGCAAGAGGGAAGTTGTCAAAATAAGTGGTTCCCCAAATTGGCCGTATGGCAGAATATCCTGGGCAACTTGTGTTAGCCTCTGATTCCGGGTCCCTACTTCAGAATTACTGAGTCAGAATTTCTGGGGGTGGAACCTGGTAATCTGGATTTTTAACGCGGGGCGTTGAGCAGGGCACAGGTGATTCTGATGCAGCCTATATTTGTGAAATACTGGACGAAATGCCCCTAACATTGGTCATCGTGTTACACTGAGCTGGGAATCTCACAGAATCTTAGATTTCAACTAATATTTTAAAAATATTTTTGTTAAAGGAGGGGTGAGTTGGTTCATGTAACATTCTGACATCTCTCCGAAAGAATAAAGATCTTAATTCTCTAATTCACTAACAACCACCCCCAAACCTAAGAAACCCAGCCATCTAAGCAAATCATGAGTAGATCCGGGCTCTCACCCCAGCAGAGTGGGAGAGAAGCCCATTGTTTGTTGGGAGCAGGGAAATGGATGATGAATTTATTTCACACAGCAGAGCAGTTGTCCTCAACCTAGCTGAATATTAGAACCACTCTGCAGAGCAATTAAGTCAGAATTGCTGGAGGTGGGGCCCAGGTGTTGGAGTTTTTAAAGAACACCCCCAGGTGATTCTAATGTAACTTGCTGCATTAGAGAAAGAGATGTGCTCTCAGGGGAAAGGCTGGAAAAGGCAGGTTGTTAGAGCAACATTAGTAAATCTCCCTGGCTAAGAATAGCAGCTCCTTTCTGGTTTAAACAGTCAAGCTGGGTGGGCTTACTCTCTGGAAACTTGGAGGACCAGGGAGGCTGCGACTGAGAAGGTGAAGGAATGAAACAGCCTGATTTGCACTTTAATTTGGAAGAAAGCTAGAAATGCTGGATGAACTCTTTCTGACGTCCTAAAATGCATTCCTGTCTTTATTCCCACCAACACTCCCCAAGCTACTAAGTGAAGGGCTCTGATTTAAGCCGAACCTCAAAGAATCCAAAATAGGACAATATTTATAATAACCATACTCTGGAGCTCTTTTGATGAGGCGAACCTGTGAAGCAGGCAGACTGCAGGAAATCTATTCTTTTTTTTCCCCTGCAAAAAGCTTTATTGTTTCCGTTTGGTCCACAGCTTGGGAGAGGGCTCCGGGGTGTTTAAAAGCTGCGGTGTGGGGAGAGGCTCAGGTGGAAGCCTTGACACTTGGAGGGGTGCAGAGGCCCCCCCCCGCCCCCACCAAAGCTGCTGGGCTCTGAACGCTGTAGTGCTCAAGGGTGAGGCTTTGGAAGAGATGCACGCTCAGCCCAGCCTGAGGGCCCTCAGCTGGTGGAGGTTAGTCAGGTGATCACCATCTTCTTGATGAGTTTCACCTCCTCATCCAGGAAGCAGCTCTCCCGGAAGTCAGAGAGCTGTGGGTCGGTGCAGGCAGAACCCAGGGCTTGCCGATCCCGAAAGGCCTGGTTCAGGTTCTTCTCTAGGACCTTCGTGGCATCCCTGTGTCCAGGGCTTTACCCTACTTGCCTTAGGACGGCTTCTGCACGTCCCAGTAGTGGAAGTAGCTTCCACACTGGTTTTGCATCTTCAAGAGACGCTGGGCTCCCTCAAGCTTCTCCTCTGCCAACTCGTAGAAAAGGTGGCTCAAGTCAGCTGAAGCCACACTGTTGTGGTTGAAACAGAAGCCCAGGGAGAGGTAAGTGTAGGAGGCCCGCAGGTACAAGCTGCCGTGTCCGGGGATTGACGGTGGCCTGGGAGCTCAGGGTTGGCTGGCAATAAAAGCTGACCACAGAAAGCGGAGTTGGCTGGTGCTGGAGGTAGAGGATGGCTGAGAACATGGTCCTGTGCGTTGAGACTGGAAAGCAGGTTACAGGGCGGTGAGAGGCTAGAAGACAGGGAGTCCTTGGGTCTGTCTGTCCTAATGCTGTTGAAGCAGAGACAGATCTGCAGGGGTGCCGGCCAACTGCCTTATCCTTACGTTTTGGGAAAGAAATAGGCAAGTTAAGCAAAGTGTGGGGGGCAGGGCTAACAGTAGCATTGGGGGTCTGTTGAAATAAATTTCTAGGCCCATGGGGGAGCTGCTCCAGCCTGGGGTAGGTTAAAAATAACTTTCTTGTCTTGGTAAATACTCCTCCTGATAGGAAACGCGCGGTGTATCTGGTCAGCCTGTCCGCAAAAGCCAAGCCCAATTTGAGCCTTCTCATCCCAAACAAGGTTGACTTTGTGGCCCCAGGCAATCAGATACTTTGTTTCTCTCTTCCTTGTTCTTCATTCTTTATCCTATTAAAGCTTCTTGTCTTCTACCCTGTTGGCAGCCTTAAGTGAGTAGGCCGGTGGGACCCAGGCCAAAGTTCATAATAACTTGTACGTATTAAGAAGTAAATGTATGGCATGCGCTAATAGCATGAGTCAGCATTATGAGCAATAGGCATGTGCCACTAGCATGAGTCAGCATTGTGAACACTAGGCATGTGCCACTAGCGTTATAAAAGGACAAGTGCGTACACCTGAGGGGGCGCCACCCGCTTGTACTGCAATAAAGTGCTGTTTTGTTCCATGTCAGCGCCTCGCGCCCTCTTCTAGTTGGCTGGCTCACCTCCTTGAATCCCTCTTCAGCCTCCCTCGGCTGACATACCCCATCTTGCAGTTGTTTGAAAAGAGACCATCTACTTGCTGAAGTGTTAAAGTTTGTTTGTGTCACGTAAATTTTTTTTTAAAACAGTTTTTGTTGACGAGGCGTGGGCTCCGAAGCGGACTGCAGGGCCACAAGTGCGCAGGTGATGCGCCCGACCCCTTTGGAGTCGCAGCTCTTCTCTGCTCCGCCTTGCCGAGGGCCCTGGGTAAGTCACGCTCCGATTTGAGCTCCACTATTGTGTGCAGCTCTGCGATCCAAGCTTTATTAAAAAACCCATAAATTGTTCCCAGAAAGGTTCTGGGGCCCTGGAAAGGTTCAAGATAAGTTATATGGAGAGTCCACAGTGGGTAACAGCCGTTAGGAAATTTGCAAAGCCTCAAGGTATGTCCACAGCATAAGCTGCTGGGGAACTTGGGAAAATAAATTAAGAGATTCAGGCTGTTTTGACCATCAATCTAAGTAGGCACAAGTCAAACTATTAAAAGCCATCAGGGTGTCCGCCGCTACAAAGAACTCTTCTACTGAAAGGAGTAATAGACTTATTGCTAATGGGAATCTCAGAAGCCAAAGATGAAAAACCTTTCGATGTTTTGACAAACTTTCTCATATCAAATTCTTTTTTTTTAAATTGAGGTTTGAGGTATAATTGACATAACATTGTTTCAGGTATACAACATAATGATTCAATATTTGCATGTATTGTGAAATGGTCATCATACTAAGTGTAGTAACATCCGTTACCATACATAGCTACAGTTTTTTTTTCTTGGGGTGAGAACTTTTAAGATTTACTCTCTTAGCAACTTTCAGATGTGTAATGGAGTATTAACTGTAGTCACCATGCTGTGCATTACATCCCTATGACATTTATTTTGTAATTGGAAGTTTGTACCTTTGATTCCCTTCAGTCATTTCTCTTCCTGCCACCCCCACCTCTGGCAACCACTCATCTGTTCCTTATATATATGAGTTTATTTTTAATTTTTTTATAGCTTCCACATATAAATGAGCTCATATGTTGTCTGTCTCTGTCTGACTTTATTTCACTTAGCATAATGCCCTCAAGGTCTATCCATGCTGTTGCAAATGGCAATATTTCATTCTTTTTCATGGCTGAATAATACTCCATTGTGCATGTATATGCCACATTTTATTTATCCATTCATCCATCGATGGACACTTAGGTTGTTTCCATATCTTAGCTCTTATAAACAATGCTGCAGTGAACCTGGGGTGCAGATATCTTTTTGAGTTAGTGTTACTATTTTTGCTGGGTAAATGCCCAGAAGTAAAATTGCTGGATTATATGGTAGCTCTGTTTTTAGTTCTTTGAGAAACCTCTGTACTGTTTTCCATAGTGGTTGTACTAATTTACATTCCCACCAGTAGTGTACCAGGGTTCCCCTTTCTCCTCATCTTCACCAAAACTTGTTACCTCTTGTCTGTTTGATGATAGCCATTCTAACAGGTGTGAGCTGATTGCTCATTGTGGCTTTGGTTAGCATTTCCCTGATTAGTGACGTTGAGCATTTTTTCATGTAGCTGTTGGTCAGCTGTAAGTCTTTAGGAAAAATACTCATTCAGATCCTCTGCCCCCTTTTAAAATCAGATTATTTTGCTATTGAGTTACATGAGTTCTTTATATATTTTGGATCTCAAGCTCTTACCAGATATGATTTGCAAATATTCTCTCCCATTCAGCAGGTTGCCTTTTCGATTTGAGTTAATGTTTGTGTATGGCAGAAGTTTCATTCTTGCATGTGGCTGAGTTCTCTGCCTCTGCTTCTAAAAAATTCTCCATTGATTCCAGCTTCAGTCACTAATTTTTGCTGCTAATCCTATCTCTTTATAAGGAAGCAGACAGGAATGTCTCCCACCCTTTCCTGGCCCAGCACAAGCCTCAAAGGGGTTAGCAGCATCAAACAACAGCTTCCCGGGGGGTGTGGGCAGCACCCTCCTCTCCATTAACTCTGCCTAAGATGCAGCAAAGGAAAGCAGTGTGTGTGTCTGACAAGGCAGCTTTGAACCAAGTCAGCCTAGTTCCCTGCTCCACACCCCTACCATATAGACACTGTGGAACTTCTTCCTGCCTGTCCCCCACCTCCATCATCTCTCTCTCTGTCATGAACTGCATTGTGCAAAGTCTACCGCATTCAGTTTTGTCCTTGTTAAGTGCTACCTGCTGTTGTGTTATGTCTTCTCCCCGAAATGGCTGCAAGTGGAGAGCAGAGGACTTGCTCTCACCCCTCGTGTCTCTGACCCAGAGCCCAGCGCGGTCGGTAAGGCACGCGTGCTGGCTGGTGGATGGATTTGCCACCAGCACCCCGCCATCTTCACTTCGCTTCCACCTCTCACTTCTGGTCTACCATAGCAGCCTGCTGGCAGAATGCTCACTTCCAGCAATGCTGTTTCAACCCAAGTTGGAGGGGAGAGGTTTGATCTGGGAAACATAAAGATCTAGCTGAGGAGAAAATGTGACCAAGAAAACGTTAAGGGCCAGCTGAGTCACCGTCACGCAGCCTTGTGTTGTGACAGCATGAGGGCTCCCGTTGGGGGTCCTGCAGAGACGATTTTTCTTTTTGACGGCACTGTGGCCAGGAGGGTGAATGAGCTGAGGAGGTGCCCTGGGTTGGGGGCAAGCTGGCCCTTGAAAGGTCATGAACGGCCAATCAGAAATGCTCAGAAGCACGGAATGTTTGAAACCAAACCATCCCCTCCAAACTGGAGCTCCCTGAGTGTGTCTCAGAAGAAAGGCTGCATTAGCAGGTTTGGAGAGGGAGCAAAGATGCTAATGAAGCGTGAACTGGCTGCTTTCCGCAGAGCCTTCCGGGCACTACGCCACCATCTCGCTTTCTTTCCTACCCATTTATTTATTTATATTCTTAATTAATGGAAATTTCAACTCCCATTAGATCAGGAGGAGTCAGTAATAAACAGCTGGAGCACTAGGCAGGCAGTGCTACTGGGGAAGGGCAGGGCCCCCTCTTCTGCTCCCAGATTCCGGTCACATGGTGGCCTCAGTGCCAGGAGAGAAAATCCATATGCTGGTTCAATGAAGAAGAGCCCAGAGCCTGTGTCGATGGGCCACTGACCTCAGTATCTGAGTTTCTTTCTCTTTAGGCGTCATTGAGATGTTCCTGATTTGGCTGTGTTGGAATCAGGCAGCCCAGGTTTGAAACTACTTAGCTGTGCCGCCTTGGGCAAGTTAATTAGCCTTTCTGTGTCTCCATCTGCTCTGTTAAAGTAATAGCACCTGTTTCAGAGGGTAGCTGTGGGTGTTGAATGAAGTAATGTGTGCGAAGCACTTGGCGCAGTGCCTGGTTCAAAGTGCCTGCTCCTGGGGTGTGGGCTGCTCTCAGCATTATATGGAACCCACATGTGTCCGTATCAGCACTGCTCCTCCCTTGGGTGCCTCAAGCAGTCCAGCAGAAGTTCTTTCCAAGAGCCAGGCTGGTGAGCACCCTCTTTTAGACATGTCCCAAACATCTTCCTGCTCTGGATTCTAGCATCCAATTTAGGGACAGCATCGTGAGTTGGTTTAGGTGGGGTTTTTGAACCCTTAGTCTTGAATCTTGGATCTATTGGCATCACTTAGGAAGCTTGAAAACCTCTGCATGTGTATAACCCAGGGCTCTGATGTTAACGTGGGACTTGGGCACAGCCAAAAAGCCACTGATGGGTTGGAATATGGTGGAGCCGTAGAGCTGGAAGAAGTACTTGGTACCCCATAGCAAGAGGAAAGCTCCCCAGATCCACTTCAATGGAAGGCTTCAGTGAGCTCCCCGATGACCAGGCTGAGCTCTGTGGAGGCAGGACCAGGAAGGGGAGTGATGGGAGCTTCATTCTGATGTCACAGCTTCTGGGTTTGTCCCCTGGCAACACACTTTACTGTCCATGGCACCTAGGACAAAGCTTATAACCTTTCTGAGTCTCAGTTTCCTGCCATGAAAGCTGAGCATGATAATAACAATGTTCTTTTGATGGAGTTATTGAGAGGCTGACATGAGATAACATGAAGTGATTAATAGAATGCCTGGCAATTTCTCACAAACTGTTAGCTGTTATGATGAGATCTGTTTTGCTCATCCATGTATTTTCAGTCCTTGTCACTGTGTCTGCTTCTAGTAAGGACTCAAGAAACAGTTGTTAAATGATCAAATGGGGAATATGAGATTTAGGACAGCCAGGTAGCCTCTCTTGCTTGCTAGCCCTAATGGAGAGGGCCCTGTCAGCTGGCCTCAAATGCTACTTCCAGATCAAAATACAGGGATTCTGTGCCTGGATCACAAAGAGCAGTATGCTGTTTCACCCGAAGGAAGAAACTTCTTTCCCTCTTTGTCCAAAGATGACATTAAGTATTGACAAAGAACAAAGTAGCCAAGGTCCTGGTGTCACTGGAGAGGAGAAAAAAAATCAAACTGCTGTGTTTGAGTTAAATTACTAGCCCTTTTCTGGGTAACAAGGATCCACTAGTTATCTTGGCTCTGCTATTGGATTTCGTTTCTAAAGGAAAGGGGCGACTCAAAAGGTGAGCAGGACATTAGTGGGTATTAAGAAAGAACCGAAGCACAATTGGGGGAGAATTGTTACTCCATCTGGCGAATCCATGCTCTCTCCTCACCTTGACTACCTCATTCCCTCTGCGGCTCACCTAATCTCAGATAGGACACGGCAGAAATAGAAAAGGTCCCCGGAAGGGCAGAGCAGATGGATCGGGGGGAAGAGGCGACTTCCACACCGAAAAGGATGAAACATTTCCTTCTGAAAGGAGCAGGGGAGAGGGGCGAGCCCGCGCCGAGGCGGGGAGCGTAATGAATGGGAGGCAGCCAGCCAGTTGCAGGCTCCCCCGTGCCCTTTCCCCTATTCGGAGAAAGAGGCAGCACTTGACAAAACTAAAAGGGAGCAAATTTAGAACTGATGAAAGGAAATGCTCTCCACACAATGTATAATTAACCTACGAAGGAACCTAACCTGCTCACTGTTAACTGAGGCGCACGATTAGCGGGGCTTTCAGAAGGTCGAAAGAATAACAGCTGATTTGGCAGTTACACTGGTTACGCCTGCGATTCCTGAGGTTTTCCATCCTCTGCCACAAGACACCAAGGGATGGCCAGGTTGAGAAGAGGTGCCCCCCCCCCACCCCGGGATGCAGAAAAAGCTGGGGTAGGGGGCGGTGGGTGAGACTGGGCATTTAGGTGGAGAGGA